CCTGTCCTTTACCTGTCCTCCCCTGCCTCACCTGTCCTCCCCTGTCCTTTACCTGTCCTCCCCTGCCTCACCTGTCCTCCCCTGTCCTTTACCTGTCCTCCCCTGTCCTTTACCTGTCCTCCCCTGTGTCTCTTGCTGTCCGTCTGTGTAGCCTCGGTGTGCAGTGCTAAAGCTGTCAGTAAATAAAGCCTGTTGTTTTTGAGTGTGATGTTAAGAAAGGAGTAAACATTGCATTGATTAATAACTTATATTATTAATATGTTACTATTGGAACCTGTAATTATTGATACGATGACGACATGGATTATGCTGACTAATTGTTATTGAGAACTGTCAGAAAACATTACAAAATTCATAATAAAAACACTATATGACGTCTCCAAGAGGCTTTTCTGTTAGTCGCCTTCTCACTGACCGTACATGACCACTATTTTAGTAAATGAGGCTGTATATGAAAAGTAAAGTGTGTTATGACCAAGGTCTCTGACAGTTCTGTGGACAGAGCAGTGAAATCTCCCTTTTTTCATTTTCAAAACTAAATCTGTCACGCATGTGGAAGAGTAGCAGCCGTAGTAGAAACAGTTTCATTCATTGACAAAACAAACAAAATAAAAATTCACTGCGACACAAAACAAAAGTTTCCAACTTCTGAATGAAAAGGGAGCAGAAAGAAGAACAAACTTCAGCATTCTGCCCCTTTATAGCAAACAGGCAGTAACAATAAGCTCCACTGTGACACCCTTCATTCATGTCTTGGTAAAGAGTGTTTCAGCATCAGCAGTTTGTACAAAACATCTCACAGGTTTTACTTCATTAATCTGTGAAGGAGACGTTTTAAGTTCAGTTTCCCTTCACTAGAAGTTGGGAAATGAAGCCCTGAGGTGCTGAATTAAAGGCTGCTGTTGAACCAGCAGACAAACACCCAGAATGCATCAGTTCAACATGTTACTGTTTCTTCTACAAAGCTGTTGTAACCCTTCCAATTTGGTCTTTTGGCTCCTGCAGGATATTTTTAGTTTAATATGTATGGATTTTGTCGTGAACGTCCATTTTGTGACGCTCTTCCGTTCCTCTGACGTAAGCACGTTGCAGTAAACGTAACCGCCACACCGCTGCGAGCACAGAGCCGTTTCTCAATACTCAAGTACGCAAGTCCATACTTGCGTTCTCGCAAGTCCGTCCTCGCGAGTCCGGTCCAGCGAGTCCGGTCCAGCAAGTCCGGGAGAACGCGTCACCGTTTATGTGCAATTGGGACAGCAGCGTACTCGATGACGTCACCACCTCGGCTCACCTGCTCTGATGATCTTTAATGAATGAAATGAAAAATACTTTATTTATCCCAGAAGGGAAATTCAATCTTGTAAAAGCTCACTTTTTAAAAAAAATCAATATAACATATATTCTATACAACAACAACAATCATTCAGTCAGATTTGTTTTTTAAGGTGATGGCTGTTGGCAGGAAGGAA